AAAAAAAAAAAAAAGGATGGAATTAGCAAGTTCCATTTAAGGAAAACAAACACTCACATGAAAGAGCAATGAGTCATAAGGGCTGAGGTTATAAGTGGCAGCTGGGACGAGCGGAAGTATTTTATCGTGTTAGTCTTTACAGATAAGACGCATCCTTGAAACGCACTACTGCAATGCACAGCGACACGGGAAGGCAAAGGCCCTACAAAGCAGCAGGTGACTTCCGGGTTAAAGGTCAGCGTGCCTCTTGGCTCCTGCGTTCTGGCTCTACCAGGTCTTCTGTGCGGATGGGCATGGGGCAGGTAGCATCTCAGGTGATGCAGGCGACGCTGCACTGCCAAGCTAAGGCTGAGGTTCATAGTTCCAGGGATCTATGAAACCCAGACTGGACGCTTCCACATACATACATACCCGAGGGAAAAAATTCTCAAAGAGGGTGTTCAGACCAACATCCTCTTTCTTCAATTCAGTATTTTCCAAAACAAAAATCACATATCCGTAATACTTGGGGGGAGGGAGAGGGTGAGATTAATCTGGCCAAACGGCCCAACTAGTTTCAATAAATAAACTGCAAAGAAGGGGGAAAAAGACAAAGGTGGAACCTGAAGATTAAGAGAGACCTAAAAGACACATCAAGTCAGGGTGTATGGGCCTTATGTGGATGCTAATTCAAAACAAATCATTGATTAGGAAATTTGAACACTGACTAGATAGGTGATGCTATTAAGTAGTTGATGTTACTATTTTAAGGTACACTGATATTAGGATTGTTTTAAAAAGTCCTTATCTGAGATATATCCTGAGATACCTACAGATAAAATATACCTGAAGTTCATTTCAAAATAATTCAAGAAAGGGGAAGTGGATAGAGGTATAGGTAAACAAAGATTGGTCGTGAGCTTGAAATCGGGGAGTCTGAGTGATGGGTACATGAGGATTCACTGTCCTGTACCAGTGACATTCAATTAAAAAAATAATGGCTTAAGATACAACTCACCTACCACAAAGTTCACCCTTTTAAAGAGTACAATCCATTTTTTTTCAGTATATTCAGTTGCACCACCAACACCTTCATTCCCCTCTACCTGAGCTGCTGGCAGCCTTGTGTATACATTTGGGAAAAAGTAAAAAAGAAGGATGGATACACTTGCTCAAGGTTACACAGTGAAATGACAGACAGAATGTGAACCAAAGTCTTTTTTCTAAAAAAAGGACTTCAACCAACTCAAGTTTGGACAATTTCCATCACCTTGTTGAACTGACAGCGATCCTTCCTGATACTGAAGGGCCGGCCCGAAGCTGACAGTACAGATCAGAAGGCTGTAATTTGCACGTTTTCTTAGGAAAAACAGCTTCAACCAAAAAACCAAAACCAAGACACCAAAGTAATAGAATTTGGCCCTGAAATTAAATAGACTAACTTCTACATAGAAACTGGAGCAGTTTTGGTGAATACAACCTTGACTTCTTGGTCTGGTATTTGGTCTCACTACGATTTTTCTGAATGAAAGGCCTTAGACATTGTTGTAATCCATTCGTATTTACTTCTTAAGGCAAATGAGTCTCCTAGGAGCACACACACAGGGCACTGAGTTCATTGTTCTAGGAAACTGGCTGGCTTTCGTAACATCCCGTTGACCAAAAGCTGCAACAGTCGAGTTCAAGGAAACCAGTGAAGGAGACTCTCATGAGGTAATTATCTTGTCTCTGACCAATAGGCTACTGAGAACGGTATTTTGGATTAATTTCCGTTTCTGAACAGAGTGAACCTGATCACCATCACACTTCAATGGCTCCTGATGTGCAGAAGAGGCTGCTTTTGTGCACTGGTTTTTGTACTTTTCTGGTTTTCATGTGGACTTCCAGATGTAAGGTGCCTGGAGTGGTGGTGAACACTGGGCATGTGATAGCTGACTTATTATAAAGTACAGCAGAACACCCACCAGCCTTAGAATGTCCAAGGCATTACGGGCTTGGCAGGAAATTGCAGACTACACTGCTTTCAAATCATCTGATTATTTGGCAGATTTTAACCTCATGAAGATAACTCAAAAAGAGCTCTTTTGGGCAAAGGAGGATTTCATAAATTGCCAACCAATTCAATCTACACACCCTCATGTAGGGACACTAGAGGGAGGACTGGGATCTTACAGCTACCATAACTGGGGGTGATAACAGTCCGACCCCTGAATTTGATCCCAAGGTTGAGCGGGGAAAGGACACGGAAACGCCCCAGGAGTGGAGGGGGCACAAAGCCGGAGAAAAGGCTGACGGGCGGTGGGGGAACAGGAACTAGGAAGGCTGCCTGCCGAGGGGCGCAGTCACTGGGGTGTGTGTGTGTGTGTGTGTTGGGGGCCACGGAGGGTGAACAATTCGCCAAAAGGTGACGGAAAAGGCTTCATCGATGCAGCCCCCCTGGAGGGAGTAGCAAGGCCAAGGATGGACACTCCAGAGAAAGGGCAAACGCACGAAGGAGGGAAGCTGTAGAAACGCTGCGTGTTTTCTCAAGTTTTTGTTGTTGTTCAAATGTACTCGGCCCCTTTTGAAGCCTCCTGATCCGGGGTCCCATTTTAGTTCTTCCGACTCACACATTGCGCATGTGGTATTCCTGTCTTCCCGTCACTCGTTTCCTGTTTCTACTGATTCTCATCACTGGCCGTCTCCTCATATATTTGATTGTGAATCCATGATTCTTAGAGCTCCCTCCGGGAGACTTGAGGCCTGGGGTTAGGATGGGTTCTTCTAGAGAACTTGTGCTGCCCTCTGTCAAGCCCTCAGGCCCACGACCACCCGGAGCGGCCCTGAAATCTCAGCTTGCTTTGCTCCCAGCTGTGTAGGGAGCTGCGAGTCGTTCCAGGTTCGCTGAAGAACAAACAGCTTGTGGATGGGATTCTCAGAGAAGGCCCTCCTCCATGCCAACAACACCCCAGCCCCTCCCCCGCAAACCCGAGCAAGTGCCCAGTCAGGCAGGGATCCTTCCTCCCAGGACGGGCTTTTGTCAAATTCTCCCTTCCACTGAGGAGGGCACCTTTTGAGCTCTGGACTTTACTAGGTCTTGATCAAAGTGCCCACTCTGGGGAGGCTCAGAGCTGAGAAATTAGGCCACGAGGGATTCAGAAATGTCCTTGGTGTAACTGGCTGGTGGCTCTCACTCCAATGACCCTCTGGATTTGTGCTTTCTGGTTGTTTTTGCCTCCTGGGAACCCCCTTTCTTGCTAGCTCAGCTATTTAGAGCTTAAAAATCAATTCTATCCAGGCCTGTAATGAATATCTGGTCTGCCATATATCCTCAAACGGAAGTCTCCCCTAAAAGTAAACGCCTTCCCCTTCTCCCAAATATGTTTACATTATGAGAAAAAAAGCTTCACTGATTGAAGTGCATGTTGAGGATGGTTCCGGCTAAGCTTTCATTAGAAAAGGAAGCTGTTGCTCAGAGGCATGACTTGCCTCACTCACTACTCAAGCAGTCAGCGATGGAGCGGAGGCTGCACGCTCCCCACAGAGCTGCCCTTCCAGAGAAACCAAAGATTAAGGCAGAACGCAGGTTTCTCTGAGTGATCTGAAGCAATGGAACTGTACTCGAGTTCTTAAATTTGCGGAGTAGAAGAGCAAAGATGCACAGTGAAAGGTGATTAAACTACAAAAGTCTGATTTCTAGAACGAAGCACTAAAGAAACTCAAAAGTACCAGTTCAAAGTCATAACTGCTGTTCGAGAACTTATGTTCAAATATGGAAACATTCAAAGCAACCTCCAAAAAATGAACTAGCATTAAGTTATATAAAAAAAGGTTTATTTTAGAAATCACATACCTTTAAAAAATAACATATTATTCACCATTTGAATGCTGAGTGCAGTGTGGTACAATTGATGGTGTGTGGATAGCAAGTCCGTTTAACATTCCTGGAATTTACACCAGTTCAAAAACTTACTGTAATTTTAAAAAGAAAATTATTTTTAAAAACTCCATTTTGGAAACACAAAAGTACCTTCATCTTGTAAATAGAAGTCCTGAAGAGAGATCCATTGCTGAAACTATTCCAAAAACTGGAAAAAGTAGGAATTATCATTTTAATTCACGAAGAGTTAAAAAGATCCAGAGGAGCTGTGTGGTGGTTCCAGTGCACGTGCCAGGAGAATACAGAAAGTTAAAGCACTCCTTTACAGTTTGACAGGTTGAAAGCAAAAGAAAAGTGAGAAAAAGGGGACGTTTTGTTTGGTAATTTTTTTTGGTATTACTGGTTATCCTTGTTCTGACTCAGGTTTCCTTTAATCTTACAAAAGAAGCACCCACAGATGGCCAACTTCAAATACTAGGGAATAAGGACACGAAATAAAAACAAATTTACTCACTATGGACTAAAAAATACAGCTCTTTGTAAATCTGAACCAAAACCCTGTGATTTAACATGTTAAGAACGCTTAAAAAGGTTTTATAGACCAAAGAGCTAAAATGATTCTTAAGCATGACTAAAGTAGAATTTTTACACAATAAACTTCAGAAGACTTTTCAATTCCTGTAACATAAAACAATTACTTTAACTTTAATCTAGTTAATATTTTGATCAAATTATCCCAGGTTCTATTTCTAGGTATTCCTACCCAGATCATGAGGTATTTGTATTTGGGGATAAGGACAAACCAAAGTCATCCCTGTGAGGGGAATTGGGGGTTTTCTGACCTAGCTAGAGCCAAATCCAGAGAAATCCTGTCACCTCCTGAAAAGCTCCAAGAAAAAGAAAACTTGAATCAGTTGATTAAAAAAAAAAAAAAATCTTTTGAGAACACGGTTGCCGTGTGCATCCACGATGAGTAGCTATGGTTCATGATGAAAAATAAGATTTAAAATTACATAAGAAGTCAATCGATCTTAATCATTTGGGAAGATAAGCAACACCTGAGAGCAGTGGTGGAATCACCTGATTTTGATTAGACTGGAGTAATTTCCAAAATTAGCTTTCCCATCAAGTGGTCATCTTCGAAGAAACACACCCACTGAAGATAAACACTGAGGTACTGAGAGGGTGATGTGGGAAGGAGGATGAAAGATGTCTCCTGTAACTTTTCAGGAAAACTGGCCATTAATTTTACTGAAGTGAAAAATGTGTAACACTGAAGTTGCAGATCTGAGCTTTATTTTCAGAACGATGTCATTTTAGAATAGAACTGATAGATTCTCTAAAATGGTTCTCCTATGGCACAAAACTCTTGGATTCTCAGAGTGGGATGCCCACATATCCGCCAAAATTTATTATGAAAGGAAACATACAAAGAGGAAGTGGAACAGGCACCAAAGATGACAAAGAATCCAATGAAAATGCCTCACGACAGGTCCACTTGAAATCTAGAAAGAGAAATGGCAAGTCCTGTATTTACAAAACCGATGAAAATCACACTGTAATAATCAGTGACTGCACAAGTGCGCAGATCTGCGATTCCCGCTTTTTCCACCATGATTCTACATCAAGGTAAAAAAAGTTTCTTTTGTACAAATCCAAGAAGGATGCAGAGGTGGCAGCCCACCTGCCAAAGATGGTTCGATGACACTACTGAGGCTGGCGACGGGACCTGAGAGGGACGGGGGCAGAGTCCCGGAGAAAAGAACCCTAAGAAGGCAGGCGGCTCTAGTCCGTGGTTGACCGCCGGTACCAAAACCTCGCCCGGAAGTCGTCGCTGCAGGTCATGAAGCCGGGGTTGGTGGGCGAGTGCACGATGCAGCGCACGATATTGTTGTGACCCAGGGACAGCAGGTTCCGGCGCTCGGCGGTCCGCGAGTCCCAGCAGCAGAGGCTGATGGTCCTTTCGTCAGGCAGCAGCACATAGTCCTCTGTGTGGTTGAAGACGGCCTGCGTCCGATGCACCTGCCGCCCGCTCAAGCCAGCACCTGTGCAGAGAGCGAGAGGTTAAGGGCCTGGGAGCAGGGCAGCTAGCTCTCAGAGCTCACATCTCAGACTCCCAGACTGTTCTACATTTGTTATGAAGCCTGTCCATGTAAATCAGCATTTTAAAATTGCTTAAGTGATACATATTTATTGTGCAATTTTGGAAATTTTATAAAAGTATGAAAAAAAATCACCGCTGGGCCCATCGTCTAAGGCACTTCTGTTAACATTCTGATTCACTTCTAGGTATGAAACCCTTTAAAAAAAAGACAAAACTGGTGCCACACTATATGTCTTTCCTATCATAGTTTAAACCAACTTTCTTTTGGGTACAACCTCCCATTTTTCTTACTGGCTACAAAGTGTCCCACTGTTTGGAAGCACCATTACTTCTTTTCCTGCGAGGCATTTAGTTTGTATCCAACAGTAAGTAACATTGTGATAAACATTCTTTGTATAGAACACATTTTTTCCTTAAGATTAAATTTCCTTAGGATAAAATTTCCTTAGGAAGAGAATTACTGGAATGTATGAACATCCGCTCTCCAAAAGGAAGCTTTATGCTTTTTCATGACCATGAAAAAAAGTATATTTAATGTTTAAAGTATGATATAAAACATAAAAAATGAAAACTGCCTGATAATTTTACACCAAGTCAGTTTTGATGACTATCCTTTCCAAATGTCTCCGTGTTGTACACTTGCCTGTAAATTACATAAATCAGAGCATACATCATATGCTGTTTTTATTCAATACTATGTAGTGGAGGTCTATGGAGAGGGAACATATAGCTTCATGGATAAAAATACAAACTTGGGTGTCACATCTGGATTCAACACACTAGTGATGTAGCCCGGGACAAATTACTTAACATCCCTAAGCCTTAATTTTCTCCTCTTTTTGGTGGGGACAATTAAAACACCTACTCCAAGGCTGCTGTGGGGATTAATGGAGGTATAGCGCACATGCAGCTTTGCAGTGTTTAGTGCTCAACAAATGTTACTATGAGTATTTTTAAAGGCTGCAAGCAATGAGGATGCCTAACAATTACTCAGCGCTTCTTGGTGGACATCTGTTGTCTAGCCCCCGCAGATAATGTTGGGGTGGACATCTTTTTACGTGTGCATGTGTACGCCAGCCCAAGAATCTTTTTAGGTTGAATTTCTAAGAGTGGACATAGAGAGTAAAAAATGTATTTAAAAATTTGATGTATGACATCAAGCTGCCCTTCAGAAATATTTTACTAATTGACACCCCTGATTTCCTGAAATGTTTATCAATAGGAGATAATAGCAATCTTTAAAACTTCTGAAATCTGATGAGCACAAAATGATACTTTTCCTTTTTATGTCTTAGGTTTACAGTGAGGTTGGTCATTTATCTTTCCCTGTGTTTACTGAACAGTATCTGGCACATGTCTATTATATTTCCCCCCCAGTCTAGCATTTTGTTTATAGTGTTTTAAATTAATTTTTAACATCAAAATTTCTAATGTTTACTTGGTAGTTTCTCCTTTTCCTTCATTATTTCAAGAGCCCTTTGAATTCTAACTAAACATTAGAACTGGAGATACAGATCTAAACGTGCTGACACAAAGGGGACTTAACCTGTGAATTAGAAAAAAGGATTTTGCATATAAATTCAGTACAATCTCATTTTAAAGTCAAATCCCAATTCTCCACCAAAACCAAGCAGCCCATTACACACAACCATGATATATTCCAAACGCGCATAAGAATACCAAACCAAATATAACAAGTTCTTCCCTGCAATGTGGCGTGCCTTCCTGTATACATTACACTCAAACAGCGGCTGTTACCTCTAAGGAGAGAGGGCTTCCCATTTTTACCAGCTCACTTTTTTATCTTCATTTTGCAATAAGCAGTCTTTGCATAGTAATACTTATTTTTTAAAATAGCTTTACACAGGAGTGTTTCAATGAAGTCACCCAAGAATTGTGGTAAAAAGGACTCTTCCCAACACTTGCTAGTTGTACCATCCCCACGCACCAGAAGCCAGAGCAAAGGAAGCAAACCGGTTCCAGCGTGCTAAACCTAAGGTAGGTCATGCTGCCCCCTGGTGGTTCAGATGTCACCAACTCTTCAATTTTCTTCCCTAAAATGCTCAACTAGCATAGTGACGCCACATAGCAGAGCCCCCTTCAATAGTGTTTTCTTGAGTTTTTGGTTTACAGTCATGGCGATTTTAGCATATGATACAAACATCTCACAACAGAGGAAACTAGCTAAAGTTGCCAGGAAAATTTTCTACCACACAGCAGCTATTGTTTCTACCAGGAACAGCAGACACAATACTGTAACGACATTCACTACAAATAGACTTCAACAGACTACAGCGATAAGCTAAATTAAAATTCATCATAAAACAAGAGCTCACAGGCACAACCGTTACCAATTAGAGACCTACACGAATTAACGGGAGAATCAGATCCACTTTGTTTCGTTTTCCTGTCTGAAGGGCCCGCTTTATGTCTAGGTTTAGGCTTGTGGTCTCATTTGGGGGCTACTTCTGCTCGCTTAGGAACGAGCCAAGATCTGTCCTTCTGTCCCTCATGTGCATGCTTACTGAGGCTCTTCTCTGGGCTGTTTTCATGTTTCTGTGGGAAAAGGGGGCAGGCCATGAGTCTACAAATGGGCCACCAGGTTCTCAAATGTCAACTGCATGGAATCAGATCTCGTTTAAGCTGTAACGCACGGAGAAGAGCAAAGGGAAGGAACTGTAGCTCTATTTCCCCGCTCTGCCTCTTAGTAACTGTAGCCTTGGCTGAACTATTTAACCTCTAAGCCTTGTGTTCCTCTTATCTATGAGTTCTGAAAACTGAGAAATGCCACAGAAATATTTAGTATCAATTTCTCACATACCCGTGTATCTGACCAGCGTTCGTCCTGTTGATATTTCCCAGAGTTTAGCTACAGAGTCTTTACCACTTGAAAGAATGTATTTAGAATTTTTAGAAAAAATGGCAGAACAAACTTCAGCACCATCGTGCGCTTTCTCAAAAGTTGTGATGCATCGATTCGAAACACCATCCCATAACTTGATGCAGCCGTCCTTGCTACCAGTCACATACATATTGGCACTGGGATTGTAATTGACGGAACAGATGGCGTCGGTGTGCTGGTCTTGCGGATTGCAAGAGACAAAACACTGAAATGTGTTGATATCATAAAGCCGAAGAGTAGGATGCTGAGTCCCAACAAGTATAAAGTCTCCAGAAGGGTGAAAAGAGATGGAGCGTAACATTTCAGCTTCCTGTTAGGACAGACACATTGACATTCAATGAGCAACTGGGGAACAATTATATCCATAGGAAATGGGGAAAATATCTGGCTGAAGCAAAGAATCCATAAAATAATGATCAGATATTATACAGGTATGACAAGTTCTGGAATACATGAAAATATCATTTGAACAGAAATTTCCAAAACTAATTACTGGTGAGATTATGCCCAAAACCATAGTGAGCCTCATTATTTGCAAATGAACACCGAGTGCTCAGGATGGAGTAATATCAATTTATAACAGGATACATTCACACATGATTAACGATTAACGAATGAAGAGAAACACAACTTGCACTAAGGAGAGCTTCTTTTATTTGTCCTAGGGCTCCAAATATGGAGTAAAAAATTAAGTTAATTAAAAAGTGGGAGCCACTGCTAAAATATCAGTATTCCTGAACTCATATTCAAAATAAGGTACCAAATGTCACTTTTCCAGAAAAACACCTGATAGTTTCAACTGAATAATTTTTATTCCCATGTTACACTTTAGCAAAGCCAGTTGTGCTGTCTTTATAAATGGGGATCTGCAACCTTTAGAGTGATATGGATTCTGAACGTTTGCTGCATGAACTAGGACCAGCAGCAGTCCTGACCGGTCAGAGGAAGTAGGCGCATCACAGCACAAAAACTGTGTGCCAATGAAATCTGCTCCACATGCCACCATGTGGCATGCGACCTCGTTGCTGTCCTTGTTGCTAGGATGATCACTGACACTAGTTTTAAAAGAGAACAGTCATACAATAGCTCGTTGTATTTAAGGAAAAACACCGTAAAGCTTCTTCCCAAACATTCCTGACCTGAATGTATTTGAAGGCTCTTTTTGCAGATGGTTTGGAATAATCAAATAATTTAAGCGTGTAATCCCTTGAACCAGAAGCCAAGATCTGTTCTGTGGGGTGGAAGGCGAGACATGTGACTTCATCCACGTGGTCATAGAGAGTCCGAATCACTGGGTGGTTTTCCATATTCTGTTGCGCAGTCTCGTTCATCATGACCTAGACCGACAAAAGAGATGCGCAAAACGTAAAACCTGACTCCACGCACGCAGCCTACAACTCCGCTTAGTGAAAGCTGGTTTAAACCAGTCTCTCATTTTTCCATGAATGAACAAAAGGCAACAAGTAAGTGTGGTGCAGGGATTTTTACCTCTATTGGCATGGCACTTTTGGCCAACATTCTCTCTGTGTCGAGTATCTTAATGGATGCGTCGGCAGAGCCAGTGGCTATTAACTGCCCATCTCTACTATAGGTAGCTACACGGCATGGCCCTTTATGGGATGTGACGTAGCAGGTTTCGTATTCTGAAGCCTCTGGGGACATAGTCTGGACATCTGCATCGAATTCCAGGTCAATCCCTGTGCCCGGGGCAACTGTATCTGAACGACCAATTGCATACTGAACTGCGGTATCATCATTTTCCATTCCTGAAAGAAATAAAAATTAAAGGGCATGAAAAATGTATTTTAAAAGGGCAAGACAAAGTTCTGGGTCTAAAATTGGGAAAGATGTTTGCCAATGTTGACGGAAAAATGTATTTTAAAAGGGCAAGACAAAGTTCTGGGTCTAAAATTGGGAAAGATGTTTGCCAATGTTGACGTACTATGTTGTGGGGGCACATGACTTAATACTTTACAAAACTAGGTATACCGACCAGGGCGCATGCATGGAGAAGACATTGTAAGGCAATACGGGTTAGGCTTCAACAGGCAAAGTCATCGCCCCCCAGTTTTTGCCTCTAAAATTCTCTACCTTAACTACAGCTACAGAAGCTAAAAAAAAAAAAAGCGTTTGGTATGTAAATTGTCCAGTTTTTCCCATTCTGGATTTTAATATTTTTAGTGTTGAGATGTTAGCAGCTGTGATGCTCATTAAATCAGATGAATTCTTAGTGTTAATGATATTAAAACATATTTGAAAGAATGCTATTTTATCAGCATGCAATTTTAAATTTAAAAATAATTCACATATCATATAAACAATGTTTTCTAGCAGAGTAAAATATCCAGATAAAGGAAAACAATGACCTTCTATTGCCCAGAGATAATTACTGTTACCATGGCAGCTTGAATTCTTCTGGACCTCTCTCCATGCACAAAGTTGTTTCACTTCTTAAAAACAGAACCACACTACATAACGTGTTGCCCTAAGTGTTCATTTATTCATACAGAATAAACATCTGGCCAGTATAACAAATGTTCATCTACATCAAGCTGTTAGATCCAAATTTATGGATATCAGGACATTTATAACTAATGACATACTGTTGTGCATTTCAGTTGTATTCACTTTATTTCCTCAGGACAAATTCTCACACTTGGCCCTGCCAAGTGAAAGGGTATATGCATGTTTGGTAATTCTGTGTTTTCCTGAGTGGTTTTTTCCATGACCCAGGCAAGCACCAGGATACACTGTCCAATAAGACAAGGTCCTGATCTTGAGCTTGCACTTTTTTTGAATGGGAACGTATGGATCGTGTCGAAAACAACCCAGAGCAATAAAGAAAATTTCAGACAGCAATTCTGCTAGGAAGGAAATGTGACTGTTGTAGAGAAATGGGAAGATGGTGGGGTTATTTTAGAAGAGGTCAAGAGGACTCAGAGATGACAATTTGAACTGAGACTTGAAGAAATAGCACATGACAGAATGCTCCGGATAATTTGCATCAAGATCCTGAGGCTGAACCAGCTCGAAGTCTTCATACTTTGGACTATCCTTACTCCTTCAGCACCTAACGCTGTACTTGACACATATGAGGCACTAAAACTAAGTGGAAATATCTTGACAAATTCTGATGTGTGAAAACATCTGCAACCTTGTCATGGAATCAATGAATGTGCATTCCCAAGCTACCTAGTTTGATGAGATGCAGGAGCTGCTCTGAGGGCGCACACACAGACTGAGGCTTGATTTCGTTGATGAGGCCGTTGGCAATGCTGATGTAGCCGTCATAGAGCAGCTGGCTAATGATCAGCTTGTAGAGCTGCTGGCGGTCCTTCAAGCCTACTTTGGTTCTGTACATCTTGAAGAAGAGGAAGACAATTTCCCTGCCAGCTGCAAGAGAAAATGGGGGTGCTAGTGAAGGGGAGAGGCATGAGTAAATCACAGAAGCAACAAAGAAATCAGGTCAGATCTGCGGGTCGTCAATCACAGCTCTACCACCTGCATTATCTTTGCTCAGCGACCTCGTTTCTCAGAGATCAGATTCCTCAGCTGTTAAATCAGTTAGTGAAGGTTAAAGAAGATAGTGCATGTAGGGTATTTCTTCTCTGCCGAACTACCCACTTGTGAGTTTTATTTTCTTGCTATCCCAGAATTTCCACTTCTTCAGCTAATAAAACATTGACTGGCGTTTGCAACAGGTAAGATAGCTGCTCTTGTTGGATGTCTAGATACTACTGTTTTTACCAGCTGAGCTGTATGTTTGCTAATGTCAGTTGTATTCATTCTTAAAATGTTTCAAAGCAACTGAGGTTAAATCATACAATTTAATTAAACAGTAAATAAAATATGAGGGCAAACAAGCTACTGTGCTATGAAAACTAAGTCAAGTTGAATGCTTTGGAAAGATTCAAAGGTGAATTGCTTAATAAACTATCAGCAAATAGCATATGGCCAAAACAGCCATAAAAAATGTAAAAAAAAAAAAAAGTAAAAATCTGAAGGATTGTACACTTAGATTGATATATAAGTGTTTAAGTTCTCCCTTAGTCTTAGAAAGTGAAGCAGAAAATGGTAGATGATGGTTTCTTGTTTAATGCAAAAGAAAAAAAAAAAGGACTCTAACTGGTGGACACGATTAGATAATTTGATTATCAAAAGTCAATGTGTGTATGCATGTGTACATCTGGGCAGATATCAGAAGGCTAGAGGAGCCTGGGGATGGCAATAAAGACTAAAAGTCACATGCAATTATGGCAGAGAAGAAAACTGGAAGGAGAGCACGGGAGAGAGACGAATACGAGGAAGGGCAGTGCGTGAGCAGGAACACTAGTACTCCTGGTATCGCTGTGCTTCACAGGGGTGATTCTGAAAGGGGGCGTTTTATAGGAAAGGGGTGGGAAGCCATGTTTTTTAACTACACAACTCCCTCTGGGGAATTACTGAGGCTCCCGATCCTAAGAGCTAACATCCACCAAGTCCTTACCATGTCGTATCTCATGTATTCCGTAACATCATCCTATAAAGGAGGTCCTGTAATTGTGTTTACAGAGGAGGAGGGGAAATAACTTGCCCTAGGTCTCACAATTAGTGCCTGGAGGAACCAGGACTAGAACACAAGCGGTTTGACTCTATTGACAGAGACAGTTATTCCTAACCACTTCTTGTGATGCTCCTTATAAACTTAATGATAAACTAGCTAAAATTTACTGGCCACTCAGTCCAGTACATAACACATCTTGTAAGCAACGAATTCATTCAATTACCTCATTCAATCCTCATCTAATCCTATTTTAGAGACAGGCAACCTGAGGCCCAGAGAGATTTAACTCACCCAGGATCAAACAGCTTGTAAATGGCAGCGCCTGGACCCTAACCCAGACTATCTGACCCCAGGGCCCGAGTTTTTATTGTGCTGTACTTATGGGCGTTAATAACAACAGCTAACATTTACTAAGCACTTGCCAGACGTCACGCTAAGTACTTTATAAGCATTTATTAGCTCATTGCATAAAATCATTCAATGTATTTAGGTACAGGTAGAAACAAATGTATATAAATCGACGCTTGTGTAGACAACACTAGGAAACAACAGAAATGACGAAACTGGATCAGAGGTTAAGAGACCCTCCGAAAGTAAAACGTGGTTGAGTAACTCGTCCAAGGTGAAAGTGGCCGTCAAGACCGTCCACACCAGAGCCCAGAACCTAACCGCTTTCTATCCCGTCTCTCTACTCGTGCCAGGAGCGTCACGAGGTGTACAGAGATTTAAAAAAAAAAAAATTAAAGAGAGGACGAGTCCCGCTTCTCAACTCCCATTGAAAGTTTGTTCGCTGGGCTAGTAAGCGCCTACTTACCACCCCCGATTTGCAGGTGAGGACGCCCAGGCCCGAGGACAGGAAGAACCCAACCCAGGAGCTGGAAGAGGGACCCGGGAGAGAACACAGGCGGCCCGTCACTTGACGCTCCGCTACGGTCCCGACACAGAGGCAAACTAAGGATGGAGTGAGGGCGGGAGCGAGGCCTGTGAGCAGGAGGGAGGGGGTGTGCAGGCCCAGCCTGGCAACTCAGGGCGCATGCCACCTCGCTCACTATCGACCCTTCCCGCCTCACCCCAATCCCTCCCATGGTCCCCTAGAGACCCCAGCCGACAGCACCTGCCTCTCTCCACGTATCCAGGCCCCCCCCGTACCCGCTAGTCCGGTTCTCACGGTGTTCTGCTCACTCCTAGAAAAATGGAGGCGCGAATCCTGCCCGATCGATCACTCCGAGCGCACCTTCATTGCGCACGCGCAAAGGGCGCCGAACCGAGCGCTGCGCTATCGATCGGCCCACTCTCTCCTGTCCGATTCGCCATCTTACTTACTGGCGCCTTTAAGGGGTCCGTCCGTTCACCTCCTCCGTGCTTATCTCCTATGAGACAACCCTGAAGCCAAGGGGCTTCTGTCTCACAGATAAAAATCGCGCCCGGGAGAGCACGGCGGGCGCTAGAACAGCCGCAGTTCTGCGGGGCCGTTGGCTCCACTACTTCCGGGACCTTACGGAGCAAGTGCGCCTGCGCGCCGTGTCTGCCTTCCTTGGCCATGACTCAATCCGTAGAGTTGGCTGTAAACCAATGAAAATGCAGCGCCTCTCCAGCTCAGGCCAATCAGCTTTCGGATTTGAGAGTTTAACTCCTATTTAAAATGACTCTTTGACTCCTAACGGCTGGACTCTCGGGAGGACTCGGCGGTTTTGGGTCGGAGGCGAAAGCCAACAGGTGCCTAGGCATTGGTGCCCCTCGGTGAGGCGGGCGGGCAAGGGCGGCCGGACTGGGTGGGAAGGAAGCGAGCACTGGGGCCGCGAGGCCGGGGATGGAAGAGTCGGGGTGAGAAGGCCTCCCTTGGTCCCCCGTCCCCCTTGTCCCTCCTGTCGTCCTCTCTGTCCCCCTTTCCCTGTCCTCCGTCCCCCTCCCCCCCGTGCTTTGCAAACGCTCTCCCATCTATCTGCTGCTGGGTAGCCAGGCTCCCTGTAAAATGCCGCTTAGTGTTAATGGGGTTGTTGGTGGGGGCGCTTTCTGTTGAGATTCTCCTATTCAGTGAGCACCTGAGTAAGAAAAAATGCAGAAGGTTTTTGCTGTCTTGGAGTTTATGTTCTAGTGGGGTTGGGGAGACAGACGACGAACTAGCGAGGGTAACTTCCAATAATGACGAGGGTTGGGAAAGAAAGCAGACAGTATGTGTGCGGTACTTGGGATAGAATAGCCAGGAAGGGCCCTTGCCCTGGCTAGGTGGACGAGTGGGTGAATCAGTGATAACCTCGCAGAGGCCTTCCTGGGCTAATGCTTTTCAAACCTTAGACCACCTACATCCAGATTACTTGGGCGTTTTTCTTAAACGTATAGACCCACCCAATGAATCAGAAGCGCTTGGGCATAGGACTCAGGTGTCTATTTTTATCAAGCTCTCCGGGTGGTACTGATGTTTCTTTGAGAACTAGTGATCTAGCCCAGTGCATCTGGGGATGTTGGTAAAATGCAGGATGGTTTGTTAGGTCTGGGGTTGGGCCCGAAAGTCTCTCTTTCTAACAACTGCCCTTGAGATGTGGATGTAGCCACTGCTCTCGACTTCTGATTCTCCTCCTCAACTTCCCTTGTTTGAATTAAATGCTTGTCAGCAATACAACTCATTTCGTTTCCTCCCCACCCCTCTTCATTTATGCAGATATTGGTAGGTTCCATGAAGGAAGGAAGAGTCTAAGCCCACAGTGCTATTGGATGGAACAGTTTTCCTGTTTAGAAAGGCAGGAGCTCTGGTTTGAACTGCAGGGATCTCGTGAAGGTCATCTGCTCAGTGACTCCTGAATGAACTTGGCGCTAGACCAGAATCACCTGAGAAGCAGTCTTCCCGGTGTTCTCTTCAGAATTTCTGGATCA